TTTTCGTCTGCGGTGGTGATAAATATGTGAGACATCTTTGCCTCGTGGANCGGTTTGTCACATACCTCGTCCATCTTCTTATGCGTCCACAGGGCAACGATGACGTTGTCTCTCTGTGAAATATGGAGAGGGGTTAGTTACAACACGTTCGTCGAAATCAGCAGGACATGCAGGCCGAGCTCTACAGTACCACGTTCTTGGTACTGCGATCAAGCTCAAAAAAAGCGATTTCGCCGTACTCCACTATGTTCTTCTTCTTGTTCTCCACGATTCTCACTTTGTCGCCCTTCTTCAACTCGACGCCACGGAACTGGACGTGAACGTAGTAGGACACTCCGGCTTGCTTTGGACCCTCCATCGCCACCTTGGGGCCGAGCGGTATCACCTACACGCAAACGCACACACCACCGCACGTGCGCGCACACACGCATCACCGCACACGCGCATCGCATGCCATCAAAGTTGTCAGGCCAGGTCTCTTGCGCATGTTTGCTGCACAGGCCAAGGCAAGGTGAACGGAATGTGTAGTGTACCTCGGCGTCGAAGTTGTGCCAGTTCTGTAGGACCTTGCGGAAGTTGGTGCGCAGCTTCTTGTACTGGTCGGCCATCTTCTTGCCCCCTGCGGTGCTCTGGTCTTGCTCCTTTGGCTCTCTGTAGAGATACTCGAGCAGCTTCTCGTTGAGCCCGAACTGTTGCTTGTGCGACGTGGCAACCATACTGCGGGGGAAGAATATGGCTCCCTTGATACGATCGAAGCATTGGTTGGGGAGTTTAAGCTGCTGCACTGTGGGCACTCGCCGAGCCGTATGGGTCGGTTCCATCCACGGAAACCTAGACTCGGGATTAGTGACACGTGGAAGCGAGAAAGCAAGAAGGTGACATCGCGAGCTGGAAGAAGAACGAAGAAGAAGAATAAGAAGAAGATTCACACGAACCTCTTGCGCTCGATTTTAGGAAAGAGGCGTCCAACCCAGAAGTAGTTGAGTCCGGGATCCCGCATGCGCAGTGACAGCTCTTCGTAGGCCGCCTCTTCGTCTTTGTTCGCCAAGGCTTGGTACGGCACGGGAAGCGTCTCTTGGCCGTCTATGGTCGGAAAGTAGCAGACGAAGCCCTGGTGACGCAGAAGTAAGGGATGAGCAAATAACATAATTGTACGAGCAAGACGCGCACAGAACAGTGTCCGGCACTGTGTACCCAGATCTGGTCTACGCCCTCAAGCAGGTTGTCAGGCACGTCGATGCTAAACTGCCAGATGCGTTCGGGTGCGGCCTTGTCGATAAAGTCTTTGATGTTTCCGGTTGTTTCGCGCAGCGACCGCCCATTGACTAGAATGTTGACCGGCGCAAAGCCGCTCAGGTCGGGCTCG